TGAGTGATGCTACGTCAACAAAAAATTTTGTATTTGCTGGAAAGATTGCAGAAGCATACTTCTAGCTCTTTAGAGACTGTTTACTCTCATATTAGTTAATTCATATAAATTTATTTTATGAAACTAAAATTTCACATTTTATTTACTTGGATATAGTTAGATGCAGGGCCTCTTGGTTGGAAAAGTGACTTCTGAGTTTATAGTGTCATGTGGAGTAAGTGAATTGTTTTTATTTTAACATTCCCTAAGTAGCATAATAAGGAGTTCTGACGGTATAGTGGTCAAGGCATTTAGCTGCTAATCAAAACGTCAGTGTTTTGAACACACCAGCTGCTCCACGGAAGAAAGATGAAGCAGTCTGTTTCTGTAAAGATTTACAATGTTTGAAACCCAATGGGGGTTGCTATGAGTTAAAACTGACTCGATGGCAGTGAGTTTGGTTCTTTGGTAAGAAGCATAATAGCACTCATTTTAAAACAGTATGTTAAAGAGGATTTGGATACATCAAAACATATCTTCTAAAGCATACCTTATTATAGTAGTTTGTAAAGTGGAGGCCCTCATTCCATCTTTGTTTCTCCTCCTACCTGTCACACAGTCTCAGGTAAAGAATACAACACTGCATGGCCCCAAACAAGAAAAATGTTCATAATCACTTAAGCTGAGGAGGGCATTTTACTGAAAACTATATCTCAAGGTCTCCATTACCTGGGAGTTACTACTTAATTACTTGCAGCCACTCCTCGGAAGGAAGATGGGGCAATCTACTTCTGTAGTGATACTGCCTCAGAAACCCAAGGAGGGGTCGCTATGAGTCGGGTCCAACTTGATGGCGCACATAACAACAACATAACATCTCTGTTTTATGTTCTTTTTATCTTAGCATTTCATAGGATCAGGGTAAATGAATATCTCTTGGAAAATTAGAGGTGTTTAAGGAAAAATGGCATTTGTAGAGGAACTTCAGATTTCCTATAGGCTTCCATATATGACTCTCTTTTTAACTTGCAACTAAAAAATTTTCCAAATGGGCCAATTGGAAGCAAAATAATATATAACAAGTGCTTAAGCACAGTGCCTGTCACATGGTAAGTGTTCAGTAAATAGTACCTATTACTTTTATAAGCAAAAGGTCATTAAAAAGAAAGAAAAGACCAAAATGGATGTCAGAAGAGACTCTGAAACTTGCTTTTGAATGTGGAGTAGATAAAGCATATGGAAGTAAAATTTTGCTAAAGGTAACTCAAAACCAGTTGCAGCTATACATTGATAGGGAACTGTCAGAAATTCAAGCTGGATTCAGAAGAGGATGTGGAACAAGTGATACCAGATCGATCTTGACTGAAAGCAGAGAATACCAGTGTTTACCTATGTTTTATTGTGTTTACCTGTGTTTTACCTCTGTCCACCTGTGTTTTATTGACTGTGCAAAGGCATTCAGCTGTGTGGATCATAACAAATTATGGATAACATTGTGAAGAACAGGAATTCCAGAACACTTAATTGTCCTCATGCAGAACCCATACATAGACCAAGAGGCTGTCCTTGGAACAGAACATTTATCATGATGTTGAATGTTGGTCCAGTTGTGAGGATTTATGCTGAGGTGTGATTCTGAAGGCTGTAGTCTTTGATCTTCATCAGCAAGTGCTTCAAGTCTTCTTCACTTTCAGCAAGCAAAGTTGTGTCATCAGCATATTGCAGGTTGTTAATGAATCTTCCTCTAATTCTGATACCACATTCTTCTTCATATAGTCCAGCATCTTGGATTATCTGCTCAGCATGTAGACTGAATAAGTATGGTGAAAGAATATAACCCCGACACACAACTTTCTTGATTTTAAACCATGAAGTACCTCTTGTTCTGTTCCAAGGACAGCCTCTTGGTCTATGTATGGGTTCTGCATGAGGACAATTAAGTGAAATGAATAATCTACACAAAGACTTACATGAGTGTTTATAGCAGCTTTTTTTTTTTTTTTTT